GTCTACTTGGAGGGGGGGGGGGGGGGGTTTTCTACTATCCTGGCATTTCAGGGCCAACATTAGAAGCCACACATCACCCACTCTTGAAGACCAAGCCTTTTCTGACACTTTTTGTTCACAGGAAAAAACTGTTTTTTTTTTGCTAGAAAATTACTTTGAACCCCTAAACTTTAGATATTTTTTTTTTTTTTTTAAAGCAGAGGCCCTAGAGAATAAAACGGTGAGTGTTGAAATTTTTTACATCACACAGTATTTGTGCAGTGATTGTCAAAAGCAAATCTTTTGGGAAAAATACACTTTTTTTAGAATTTTAATGCACAAAAACACAATATATTGCCAAATCGTTTGATAAAATATAAAAGACGATGTTACACTAAGTAAATAGATACCACACATGACATGCTTTAAAATTGTGCATGACTGTGCAATGGCAACAAAATACATAAATTTTTATTATCCATAGGTGATGCTTTAAAAGCCTTTACAGGCCACCAATTTATATTTACAGAGGAGGTCTAGTGCTAGAATTACTGCCCTCGATCTGATGTTCGTGGCGATACCTCACATGCATGGTTCAACCACTGTTTACATACCGGCACGGTGTCAACGCTTGCGCATGCTGGTAAGCGTGCGCAGGGGGGAAAGGGTGCTTTTTTGGATAGAGCAAGGGAGGGTTATAATGCCTGTCAGTTTTTTCCATCTGTGTCCCTTTGGGGAAATTTACTGTCATTTCCTGTCCCATAGCCAAAACAGGACGCGAGAGGAAATCTGGCCAGAGTGTGGGAAATCCCTGGTTATCCCCAGGGTCACCAGAACTAGTGTCCTCATTGGAAGGTTACCCCTTTATTACTGTTCTAGGGAAAACTCCTAATTTTGGGATTTTCTTTTACTTTCACTTTCAATGATAATGGTAAACAGGACAAATAGAGAGGGTAAATCTCCTTAACTGGGTCACAGACAGCAATAAAACTGACAGGTATTCTAATCCATCTCCACTCCATTCAAAGAAAAAAAAAAAAGTTTAGCCTTTAGTTCTACTTTAAGGACTGATCTATGGTGAGTTTGGACATGATCATTTCTGTGAGAAGACATTCTGCTTCTTATTTATTGGTTGGTTAGTGTGGGGTATTGAAGTATATATAGGTTTATACAGAGAGGCATTATATCCCCACTTTGAACATGAATTACAAAGCCTATTATTATTGCACATATAAAATTACGTTTGCTGTATGTTGTGTTTTCCTCCCGATGTTCTCCTTCAGCCCCTTTCACATGGTCTACTTGAAAAACTGACAGGCAGACCTCATCAGAAGGTCCATTCATCCCTATGAATAGGCTGGTATAAATGACGTTGTGTATGTTTACACCCGCCTGCCTCCTGGTCTGATTGGGTCCACTAAAATAAAAACCAGAAGGGAATCTGTTCTCTTTTGTTTGGTCGAAGGGTAGTCAAGTGTAAATGGACAGCAGTGACCGTTTTATACCCGGCTGCCCATAGAGCAGAATGGGCTCTGTCCATGTCTGCAGAAACTGAGCGGACACAGACCTGTCATCCGTCCACGCTGCTCTGATCAGTAGGGAATCTGTGAGTTTATCACCTGTTGATCAGAATGGAATCCACCCTCTGTGAAAGGGGCTTTTAGGGTTGATGGGCTCCAAAAGAGAGGTGGAATTAGAACTCCTTAGGAGATGCCTGAGTAACTGTGTGACATTAGGCATTAGTTCTGTTCTAGACGTGTGCTGGTGATGATCTGCTGTGGCTGGCTGGGTACAGTCACTGCTCTCATTTCCTTTTATGGGCCCGCAGGAAGGGGACACACTAGTCTTTCCCTGATGCAGCCAACTACGTCCAGCAAAATTAGGTTTTGGCATTTCATTCTTCCCCTGTACTTGCTCTCGATTCTGGACCCCTGCATCTTCTGATACGTATTGCAGACTTTCTTGTTACAAATATGGCTATTGCTGCATATGGTTGACTTTGATGGCAGGGAGATGCTATATAGACACCTATATTGGTGGTGTACTGCAAGTTATGTTTCAAGGGAGCAATTCACTTGATACTATAGATCTCTTATGGGAATTATCTTTTGGCTCCATGCACATTAGCAATTTTTTTAAGCTCAAAAAATGCTGGTAATAGGTTTTTTTTTTTTTTGTTTTTTTTTTTTTTTTTTTTTTTTTTGTAGCGTCTAGAAGTAGGGATGCACCGAATTTTCGGTGTCCCAAACGTTTCAGCCAAAAATTGGCCTTGGGCCGATATGAAAATCGGCACCAATATAGATGCCGTAAATATTCCCGCCACCGCCCTCTGGTTCTCAGCGCTACCTGAGAACACATCCAACGATCTCAAAAGGAAAGATGGCCTTCACTCATCTCTATGCCCTTCACTCATCTCTATGCCCTTCACTCATCTCTATGCCCTTCACTCATCTCTATGCCCTTCACTCATCTCTATGCCCTTCACTCATCTCTATGCCCTTCACTCATCTCTATGCCCTTGGAGGACCGGAGCAAAGTCATTTTGACGCTCATGGTTGTAGCGCCTTGTAAACAAGGCCTTTTTTTTTTTTTTTTTTGTAATCTAATGCTTTACATTGTAGAGGAGAGATGTGCGGTGTTATTGACCCCATATCTCTCCATAAAGAGAACCTGTCACTAGGGGTGCACCGAAATTTCGGTGGCCGAAACGGTTCGGCTGAAAACACCCCTATCGGCCGATATGAAAAAAGCACCGGTGCAGAAAAAAAACCCTGCCCCCTCGTGGCTACTGCCACTCCCCTCCGCTCAGTAATTTTTAAGCTTTACCTAAGAAACCATCGAACAATCCCAGGGCTGGGCATAGAGATTAGTGAAGGAAAGATGGCCTCCACTCATCTCTATGCCTTGGAGGACCGAGCGATGTCACTTCCAGTTCCAACATTTTTTTTTTTATTTTTTTTTTTTTCTTGTTAAAGCACTAGATAAATGCTTTTTTTATCTAATGCTTTACATTGTAGAGGAGAGATGTAGGGTCTTATTGACCCCAAAGCTCTCCATAAAGAGGACCTGTTAATAATTATTTCTATCGGGGAGACCCGTTCTAGTGAATGCGGGGTCCGGGGAGACCCGTTCTAGTGAATGCGGGGGTCTGGGGTTTAGTAACACTTTAACTTTACTTTCATGTAATGAGCTAAACATATCTTCTATAAAACTTTGTCAAAATGTTGGAAATTGTTCTTTTGTTGAGATATTGATTAAAATCTTACTTTTCAAAAGGGGTTTAGTCATTTATGCTGAGCACTGTATTGCCACCAATGCAGTACAGCGTCATCATATAACTGGTGTGGTGGTGATCAGGGACACTGACAGGTGAAAGAACACTCCTCCTACAAGCTTTAACCAGTGCTCTGCTGAAGTCACAAGACTGCTCTAACTGCTGATGAGAAAAGGTATTTCGCAGTTTACATTTACTAAAATAATTGCACTTCCAGAGGTCAGATTAAGGTATCCTTTTATGAAACCGAGATCAGCGGCGATCCTAAGGATCGTTGATGATCTCTGATCATTAGTGGATTAGGAAACCGAGATGATCAGCGGAGAACATGTTCTCCGCTGATCACCTCAGCACACAGATGGCCAGTGTATGCAGGAGCGATGTCAGCCCTTCACTGGAGATCTGTGTGAAAATTCTCCCTCCGGATTCTGCAGCCCAGAGGTGGAAAATTGGAGGAGCAGCAAACGAAGTGGCGGTAATTTACTGCTGATTAGTAATCTGTGTGTTTTGACTGATCTCTGACTGTAAAATCTCATGAGATTACAGTAACAGCAGCCATTTTCTAGCATTCAAAGCGTTTGTAGATCGCTTCTCTCCTCATTAGGAAAAGCGATCTACGCCACTTCATGAACAGGTATTCAGAGGAGAACTGTCTCCTGAGAATGCCAGTGATTGAGCAGTGGTCATTTACCGCTGCATGATAAAAGGACACCATTGTGAATGCAGGGTTCCGGGTTTAGTAACACGTTAAGAGAGATTTATTAGCTTTTTTGTTTTCTGCCAGAAAAACGCTCCCAAAATCTCTACAAAAACCTTTTTTTCTGCTCTTAAATGCTGAAGCTTGAAAAAATGCTACAAGCCTAAATTCATATGCATGGACACATAAGATAACACTAGTTAGCTTACAGGAGCAGAAAAAAACCCCGCTAATGTATGGAGCCTTACAGGGTGTCATCAGTGACAACTATATGCTTCTTGCCTCTCCTTCGGAATTCATAGGAAGGAGTGGCCTGACTTTAAATATTGCTTCTTGGATTGTTTTACTTAAATGGTAACATACACACACGTGCTGCTTTGAGTATGCAACGGACCCATATGTGGATAAATAAAGGACAACACCATTGAATTTGGTTTGCACATCTATGCACAGTACCTGCGTATGAGATGTTGCTTTGAACTTGTATAATATGGACACTACTACTGTGAATGATAGATGCAGAACTTGATGAGGTGGTGGTTTAGGAACCCTGAACTTGGGTCACCATGGAGGAGTCCTAACCTGGACTGCCTTCCCTATGGGAACCCTACCAATGTGCCCTGGGGAATTCCAGAGGCAGGTGTATTTAGGATCTCACATTTGTTGTGTAATTGTTTTAATTTTATAAATGATATAGGATAGCAATTGTACAGGAATATTTTACTTGTATACCTTGGTCTTTTAATATTTATGTAAGTGCAATAAAAGTTGTATGTTTTTTGTTGAAGCATGTTCACCTCTCGTTATTTTTGTATAAATAAATAGCATAATTGCTGTTTGCAACACCACTAGTAATTTTTTCAGATTTTTCATGGGCATAGCTCAGGTTTTTTTTTTTTTTCCATTAATCTCAGAACTCAAGACACAGAAATCTGGGTACGTTCTGACGTGTAAACAATTGTTAACCTCTGCTCGGGTGTAATACTATGTAATTATTATAATACTATAATGGCTGTATAGCTGTACTTTACTTCAAAATAATTTTTCTGAATGACAGCTGCAGCTTTTGGGTGGAAGGGTCCATTGTCAGAATATTCTAATGTTTGGCTGTTGTTTTGTTTTTTTTTGTTTTTTTCTCTTCAGTATGATCTCTCAGCATCCACGTTTTCTCCTGATGGCAGAGTGTTCCAGGTTGAGTATGCAGCTAAAGCAGTGGAAAATAGTAGGTAGGTGATTTTCTTCTTGAAATAATGACTGTCCATATTCCAGAGAAGACATCTTTTTTTTTTTAATATCTGCCTTCATCCCAAAATGTGTAATTTTGATACTGGTTAGAAACACACTGCTAAAAAAAATTAACTGCTTCCCGACCGCTGTATAGCAGAAGTACTGCTACAGGGCGGCAAGGCTGCGCAAAATCACACGTGTGTGTGTGTGTGTGTGTGTGTGTGTGTGTGTGTGTGCGCCTCCATTGGTGGCTACAGCTGTCGATCACCAGGTCCCAGATGGAGAGCAATACCAAGCAGAGCTTACACATAACAAAGTAAAACAGCACGCAGTAAACCCTTTGATAGCCCCAGATGTTAACCCCTTCCTGCCCAGTGTCATTAGTACAGTGTCGGTGCTTTTTAGTGGCATTCATCACTGTATTAGTGTCAGTGGCAGTTAGTTCCCCCCCCCAGTGTCAGAATGCCTGTCTCAGTCCTGCTATAAGTCGCTGATCACCACCGTCAGTAGTATAAAAAGAAAAAATTCCAGTGTATTTATACTTTCATTTGTAAACGCTATAACTTTCACATAAACCAATTCATTTACATGTATTGAGATTTTTTTTTTAGCAAGGACATGTAGCAGAAAACATTTTGGCCTAAATTTATGATGAAATTAGATTTTTTACAAACATTTTTTACTGAATGTTTTATAGCAAAAAGTCGAACCCTTTTTTTTTTTTTTTTTTTTTTTTTTTCAAAATTGTTGGGGTTTTTTTTATTTTTGTGTTTTTTTTTTCTAGCACAAAAAATGGAAAACACACCGAAAGAAAACTCCATTTGTGGGGGGGGGGGGGGGGGCGGACATAAAATTCATTTGGGTGCAGCATGACCGCTCAATTGTAAGTTAATATAATGCAGCGCCATATCGCAAAAAAATGGCCTGGTCAGGAAGGGGGTAAATACTCTGGAGGGCAAGTGGTTAAAAGAATTCGAAAACACATCAAGTCTCAATGGGGAAAAATCTCATGCTCGATATCTATACTGATATCATCATTTGACGATTATGAAAATTGTCACCCTACAGAGGACTGAATTCAAAGACGCCCAGAAAAGCAAGCTGAAAAAATGATGCAGCAGGCTAGTCCATTTGCTGAAATTTCATTGCAGCAACTTAAATGGTACTCAGTAGTTTGTATGTCCCCCACGTGCTTGTATGCATGCCTGACAACATCGGTGTCCTGGGGTATTTCCTACTAGATCTGGACCAGGGCATCACTGAGCTCCTGGACAGTCTGAGGTGCAACCTGGCGGTGTCAGATGGACCGAAAACTGATGTCCTAGAGGTGTTCTATTGGATTTAGGTCAGGAAAGTGTGGGGGCCATCAATGGTATCAATTCCTTCATTCTCCAGGAACGGCCTGCATACTCTCACCACATGAGGCCGGACATTGTCGTGCACGAGGCAGAACCCAGGACCCGCTGCACCAGCGTAGGGTCTGACAATGGGTCCGAGGATTTAATTTCGATACCTAATGGCAGTCAGGGTGCCATTGTCTAGCCTGTAGAGTTCTGTGCGTCCCTCCATGGATATACCTCACTAGACCATCACTGACCCACCACCAAAACGGTCATGCTGAACAATGTTACAGGCAGCATAACGTCCCTTTCATGTCTGTCATGTGTGCTCAGGGGGAACCTGCTCTCATCTGTGAAAAGCACAGGGCGCCGGTGGCAGACCTGCCAATTCTGGTGTTCAATGGCAAATGCCAATCGAGCTCTATGGTGCCGGGAAGTGAGCACAGGGCCCACTAGAGGACGTCGGGCCCTCAGGCCACCCTCATGAAGTCAGTTTCTGATTGTTTGGTCAGAGACATTCACACCAGTGGCCTGCTGGAGGTAATTTTGTAGGGCTCTGGCAGTGCTCATCCTGTTCCTCCTTGCACAGAGGAGCAGATACCGGTCCTGCTGATGGGTTAAGGACCTTCTACAGCCTTGTCCAATTCTCCTAGAGCAGGGGAAGGCAGCCTGCGACTCTCTAGCTGTTGTGGAACTACATTTCCCATGAGGCATTGCAACATTACAAAACTGACAGTTACAGCTATGACTTGCAGAGGCATGATGGAACTTGTAGTCCTGCAACAGCTGGAGAGCCGCAGGTTGCCTACCCCTGTTCTAGAGCAACTGTCTTGTCTCCTGGAATCTCCTCCATGCTCTTGAGACTGTGCTGGGTGACCCAGCAAACCTTCTGTCAATGGCATGTATTGATGTGCTATCCTGAAGGAGTTGGACTGTCTGTGCAACCTTTCTAGGGTCCAGGTATCACCTCGTACTACCGTTAGTGACACTGACCCTAGCCAAATGCAAAACTAGTGAAAACAGTCAGAAAAGATGAGTAGGGAAAAAGATTTCTGTGGCCTCCACCAGTAAAACAATTGCTGTTTTGGGGGTCGTCTCATTGTTGCCCATCTAGTGCACCTGTTAATTTCATTAACACCAAAGCAGCTGAAACTGAATAACAACCCCCTCTGCTACTTAACTGACCAGATCAATATCCCAGGAGTTTAATTGACTCTGATTCTTTATTTTCCTTGAGCAGTGTAGATTAGCAACCCTACTAATACTTATTGGGTATTGCATATCACAGAAATCTTTTAAAGACATTAAAAGTACAGTATGTCCAGGTAGTAATGTGCCTCCCATAAGATAAAGTGGAATCGATCAGCCATAACATTGTGACCACCCACCTAATATTGTGTAGGGCTCCCTTTTGATGCCAAAACAGACCTGACCAATTGAGGCATGAACTCTACTAGACCTCTGAAGGTATGCTGTGGTATCCAGTACCAGATAGTCGGCCTCAGATCCTCTAGGTCCTGTAAGTTGCAAGGTGGGGCCTCCATGGATTGAACTTTTTCCCTTGACATCCCACAGATGCTTGATTGGATTGATAGCTGGAGAATATGGAGGCCAAGCAAACACCTTAAACTTGTGTTCCTCAAACCATTTTTAAACCATTTTTACAGTGCGGCAAGGCACATTATCCTGCTAAAAGACGGCACTGCCACCAGGGAATACTGTTTCCATGGTGAGGTGTATTTGTACAGAAACTATGTTTTGGGTAGGTGGTATATGTGTCAAAGTAACATCTGCATGAATGGCAGGACCAAAAGTTTCCCAGAAGAACATTGCCCAAAGTATCACACTGCCTCCGCTGGCTTTCCTTCATCCTGTATGGCATTTTGGTGCCATTGCTTCCCTAGGTACAGTTGTGACCAAAATTATTCAACCCCCACTGAAATTGAGTGTTTTGGCCAGTTTGACATTGCTTTTGATCATTCAGTCATCTTGCTTACATTTACATTAAAGAGGCACTTGTAGGTCAGACAAATATAACATAACAGTTATAATGAAATAACCACAAATGTCTTTTCTGTGCTCACAGCATTATCAGTTTTATTCAACCCCCAAGTGACATTCAATCTTAGTACTTAGTACAGCATCCTTTTACAGTTATAACAGCTTTTAAACGTGAAGCATAGCTTGACACAAGTGTCTTGCAGCGATCTACGGGTATCTTCGCCCATTCTTCATGGGCAAAGGCCTCCAGTTCAGTCACATTCTTAGGCTTGCGCACTGCAACTGCTTTCTTTAAGTCCCACCAGAGGTTCTCAATCGGATTTAAGTCTGGTGACTGCGATGGCCACTCCAAAATGTTCCAGCCTTTCCTCTGCAACCATGCTCTAGTGGACTTGGAGGTATGCTTGGGATCATTGTCCTGTTGAAAGGTCCAACGTCTCCCAAGCCTCAGGTGTGTGACGGACTGCATCACGTTTCCATCCAATATCTCCTGGTACTGAAGAGAATTCATGGTACCTTGCACACGCTGAAGCTTCCCTGTACCTGCAGAAGCAAAACAGCCCCAAAGCATGATTGACCCTCCACCATGCTTCACAGTAGGCAAGGTGTTCTTTTCATCATAGGCCTTGTTCTTCCTCCTCCAAACATAGCGTTGATCCATGGGCCCAAACAGTTCTAATTTTGTTTCATCAGTCCACAGAACACTATCCCACAACTTTTGTGGTTTGTCCACATGGCTTTTGGCATACTGCAGTCGACTCTTCTTATTCTTTGGAGACAGCAAGGGGGTACGCCTGGGAGTTCTGGCACGGAGGCCTTCATTACGCAGTGTGCGTCTTATTGTCTGGGCTGAAACTTCTGTACCCACATCTGACAAATCTTTTCTCAGTTCCTCAGCAGTCACACGGGGACTTCTCTCCACTCTACGCTTCAGGTAGCGCACAGCAGTCGAAGTCAGCATCTTCTTTCTGCCACGACCAGGTAGCGTTTCAACAGTGCCCTTTGCCTTGAATTTGCGAATGATGCTTCCTAAGGTGTCTCTTGGTATGTTTAACATCTTTGCAATCTTCTTATAGCCATTGCCCTTCCTGTGAAGAGAAATCACCTCTTCTCTTGTCTTCCTGGACCATTCTCTTGCCTTCACCATGTTTGTAACCACACCAGTAAATGTCTAGAAGGAGCTGAGTATCACAGTCATTTTAAAGCTGCCTAATTGGTGCTTATTATGCTTGATTGCTGCTCGGTGACATCCACAGGTGTTTTCAATACCTGATGGAAAGCACCTGTATGAACCTCTGTTCTTCAGAGTGGTAGTCTTTAAGGGGTTGAATAATTGTGGCAATGAAGAAACCACATAAGAACCATTTACTACTGTATTACATAAACAATTGATGTCATTTTAGTTGCATTTGGGTAGTTACAACGTCCTTGTAGGATTTGATTCTGAATACAATTCCAAATGTACACTATAGTCCCTAAACCCCTTTACAGCATTGGGGGTTGAATAATTTTGGTCACAACTGTAAGTGAACATGCACACAGCCATCCACATGTTGTAAAAGAAAATGTGATTTGTCAGACCAGGCCACCTGCTTCTATTGCTATGTGGTTCAGTTCTGATGCTCACATGCCCATTGTGGGTACTTTTGGCTGTGGACATGGGTCAGCATTGGCACCCTGATTAGTCTGTGACTACACAGCCCCATACACAAGAAAACGCAATGCCCATTATTTTTCTGCTTTTAACACTTCTACTTCAGGCACCACAGTTCACTTGCTGCCTAATATATCCCACCCACATTCAGGTGCAATTGTAACAAGATGATCTATGTTATTTACTTTAGCTGTTAATGGTCATAATGTTATGGTTATTCAGTGTATATACATTGCAAAGTCAAATTCTTACCTGTTTCTGTCCTTGGATATGAAGAAATACCACTCCAAGCATTTCCTCAAACTTGCTGCTGAGCAGAGGAACTACCAGTTTTAACCACTTGACCTGTTTTCTGATTTGTAATAGGAGAAAAAGGCATCTCAAGCATCTTGGGAGATAGGTGGTAATTTATCACTAAAAATTAAAGGCTCTCTGCTGTTGAGCACAGGGCTAAGGATTCCTAAAACTTTACCTCAGGTTCTATGCAGATGTCTGAGAAAACCCACAGTCGATCAAACAAGCAGTTAATGTGATTTCTGGGTGATTCTGTTTTTCCTTGCTCTGCAGTTACAGGATCTGTTATTTTGACCAGCAGTGGTACTTTACAAGTTATAGAAAGTTACTGTGTAGTCAGCTATTTGAACTCTTCTTGTATTTGCGTCTTCGTTTCCAGCACAGCCATTGGTATCCGATGCAAAGATGGAGTTGTGTTTGGAGTAGAGAAGCTTGTCCTTTCAAAGCTTTATGAAGAAGGTTCTAACAAGCGTATTTTTAACGTGGATCGGCATGTTGGAATGGTAAGAACAATGGAACTGGCTGTTTTTGTCATTTAATTTATAGTCCCCAAAGTGAAGGAATTGTAAAAATTACAAGAAAATCTAGTCCAGTTTTCCAATTTGTCAAGTAACGGTTTGTAACCAAAGTGAGGGAATTTGTCTTAGTCTACTTGATGTAGAAAAGAAATGCAAGTAAGATCTGACTTTTGCAAAGCATTTGACTAGAGGTCCTTTACTTAAATGACTTTATAGCTTGGTGTATAAGGGTAGTGCACCCTCAGATGTAAACACTGTCCTGAAGCCAGGGTCCTGAGTTCATTTCTACTATCGGGAAGAGTGAACTTTATGAACAGGCATTGGTAGTAGGACTTCTATAACCTGCACTAGTATAGTAAAGGTTTTTTTCCTCAGTTACTTTGGAGAGTGCAGGACCAGCCAGCTAAAGGAGTAGAGCGTGCCCAGTTTGCATGGTGATTTTTCACCTGGCTTGTTGAGAGGTGAGCTAAGTAAAAATCCACTTTGCAGAGGAATACCCAATCACCTTATTCGATGAGCCAAGTAAAAATGCATTTTGCAACCTTGCGTAGCTAATGAATGAGATGAGGCTGTGCTGAATTTAATCATCCAATCCTTTTTTGTCTTTTTTCTAAGTCAGGAGTGTGTTTGTGTACTTTTTATAAGCAGGCTGTCAGCTTCCACAGCTTCCCAAATGTGGGCCCAGACTTGCATGGTTGGTGTCGCAGGATAGAGTGGAGGAAGTTCCTTCCAGTCTATGAACCAGGAAGTCACCTGTATTCCTGGTTCAGAACTGTCAATTACTGGCAGTGCAAGGAAAACTGCTAATGGAACACAATCTGTGCTCTGTTATTATCCGTAGAGTGCTGGGGAAGCATCAGGGGTCTAAAAGATCCCAGCAGTCTCCTTAAAGAGTCACTGTAGATGTGCTATCATATAAGGGGCTATTTGTCCCCTATGTGATAGCAATAAAGTTAATTGAAGGAAAAATGTTTAAAAAGTTTAAAGTTACAGGGAAAAAAAAATGTAAAGCCCCTGCCCATACGCACAAGCACACAACAGTAAACCTGAATGATGTTGCTGTGAGAGCAATAGGTTCAAGGGCCATTATTCATGGTTAAATCTAAACTTACAGCCTAGAACGGCTTGTAAAGCATCACCTATGGACAATTTGGGGCACTAAATTTGTTGCCAATTTGCGAGCATGCACAATTTTAAGGCTTGATGTGTTATTTACTCAAGACAACCCTATCTCTTATATTTTATTTAAAAAATGGGTAATATATTGCCTTTATGGGCACTAAAATAAACTTTAGTGTACTTTTTACTGAAAATATGCATTTAATAAATTGTTTTGCTAATATGTGACAAATGTGCAACTACCACCATTTTATTCTCCTGGGTCCTTGCTTTCAGAAAATGTTTGGGGGTGTTAACGTAAGCCCTAATATGTGCATTTTAACACATGCAAACAATGCAAAAGTGGCTTTAACAGGAAAAAGGCATCTCCACCGTGGTCTAGCCTATATCTGTATGAGCAAGTTTGGGTATGGGAAATGCCTTTTGTAAACTATACTAATGAGTAGAACTACCCAAACCTTATGTGATGTGAAGGGATCTATGTAGCTATGCAATGATTATGTGTGGATTGCAGGCTGTAGCTGGACTCCTGGCTGATGCCCGTTCCTTGGCAGACATCGCTAGAGAGGAGGCCTCCAACTTCAGATCCAACTATGGTTATGATATTCCATTAAAGGTATGCTTACTTTTGTAGAAAATAACATTTTGTTTGTTCTGTACCCTTGGATCCAATTTTTTTTTTTTTTTTTTTCTTTACACCCCCTTGCAGCATCTCGCAGACAGAGTGGCCATGTATGTACATGCATATACACTGTACAGTGCTGTCAGACCTTTTGGCTGCAGGTATGTGATGGAAATTAACTTTCATTCACTATATATAGATATATATAGCATGAAACTCTACTTTAGATTACCAAGCCATTTTTTGTAAAGTGTAAATCCCATTCTCCTCTAATCCACCTTGGAAATCTTTCTGTGGTGCAACCTGAAGCATGCAGGGTACACACAAATCCTTTATAATATATTATAATTACTTGCGAGCCACTGAGATATGAGATGGCAATTAAATATATAGGTCAGCAGGCATCTATTCACATCCTCATATAAATGTTTTGTAGTAATATACAGTAAATTGATTAATTATTGCCGCGCCCTAAATGTGAGATATGAATACTTCCAGAAATAATGAACAATCCAAGTCAACTTATTACAACTTCAAAATAAATCAATAATAGAATGTGAAATAAACCAAAAAACGTGAAAAAAATATAAGTAATAAAAATGAATGGTGTCCAAAAAAAGTCTATATAAATTTGATTAAAGTTGATTAGTCAAACAAGATTGCAGATGGATTCTTGCGTGAATATAGATACTTGTATGCGCTCACCTTCCGTTAAGCCCACTGCTGGGCTAACACAGCTTTGATGTTTATCCTTGATGGATATCTTTAGAGACTCCCTTGGATACTCCTGATGATTGATAGTGGATGATTGTGGGTCTGTGGGTTAGCTTTTTCTCATGGCAATAAAAAGTGCTCCATCTCCTTGTATTATTCCTCGTTAGTATAGTGGGAAAGAAAAAGGTACATAGTGCCTTATTGTTTTTTAAATTTAATTTTATTCACAACTTCTTATGCACTCACAAGTATTCAGTATAAAAAGTGCTGAGTTAAAATCAGTGAAACCGCTAAATGCGTTTGTGACAGGTCTCCTGCGTAGCTGCTCACACTCGCTCACATAGATTATACTCGCCATGAAGTCTGGTTGCTGTGGTGATGTCAAAGCCCCTCCCCAACCCGTTGCGCCACAGGGACACGTGGCTTCGTCCGGGGGATGTGATTTGGGCTTTGACGTCACCACAGCAACCCGACTTCACGGCGAGTATAGTCTATGTGAGCGAGTGTGAGCAGCTACGCAGGAGACCTGTCACAAACGCATTTAACGGTTTCACTGATTTTAACTCGGCGGTTTTTATACTGAATACTTGTGAGTGCATAAGAAGTTGTGAATAAAATTGTTCTTTTAAAAAACGATAGGGCACTATGTACCTTATTCTTTCCCACTATACTAACGAGGAATAATACAAGGAGATGGAGCACTTTTTATTGCCATGAGAAAAAGATAACCCACAGACCCACAATCATCAGGAGTATCTAAAGATATCCATCAAGGATAAACACCATAAATTGTGTTAGCCCAGCAGTGGGCTTAATGGAAGGTGAGCGCATACAAGTATCTATATGCCAGCAAGAATCCATCTGCAATCTTGTTTGACTAATCAACTTTAATCAAATTTATATAGACTTTTTTTGGACACCATTCATTTTTATTACTTATAATATGATATTTTTTTCACTTTTTTTTTTTTTTTTTCACTTTCTATTGATTTATTTTGAAGTTGTAATAAGTTGACTTGGATTGTTCATTATTTCTGGAAGTATTCATATCTCACATTTAGGGCGCGGCAATAATTAATCAATTTACTGTATATTACACACAAATCCTTCTTGTACTTTCATTCTCTGGGTTAGCCTAAGGCACTTCAGAAGATATCAGACAGTTGTTATAATTACTGAAAGTATACCAAAATAGGGGATATCTAATCAGAGAACTTTAATTCATTTATTTGGCAGTTGCTGCTTTACAGTAGGGTTGTGCTTTCGCTTTCATGCGCTCAGCATTCATAATGCATCAGGCTGGCTACTTCTCACAGGATCCAGAAGCAAGTGGGGTGATCACTGGAGTAGTGGTGTCTGCTTCAGTGATTTCCAGCTTCCAGAGAGATTGGTCAGGTATGGTATATACTGTACATAGTTATGTTGGTCCAAGCTGGACCAATGTAGCTATGGAAAAAATTTACCATGCTTGGAATTCATCTGTAAGGGTCAATAGCAGTTCTTGTAACAACTGCTCTGTCTCACTGTCTTCAGTATATTTCCAGTTTATAACAAAACCTGTAGTCCATATTCTGACAGTGTTGTCTATGCATAACTAAACATTCTGAGTGGACACTTGCTATAGTCGGTGACTGCATTTAAGGTTCCCTACACTTCATAAATTGATTGCTATTGCTTAAAGCACTTATATTTGTAGACATAACTTTTATTTCTTCTAAAGTTGATAGCTGGCCTGTATTCCGCCTCTAACATTTTGGTTCTTGAGTGGTGGGCTCATTAACCAATAGCTCAGTGAAGGAGGAGACAGGCTAGCCCATGACTTTAGGAAGAAAACTTGAGCAGGAGCACTTTGGGTTTTGGTGGTCCTTATCTGCTCAGACATTAGCAGGTACGTACAGACATATTAAATACCAGCTTGCCTTTACTGTATCTACTCTAGAACATATTTGCTACACAAGAGCGAACTGTAATGGATCAGAATCTTTGAACCACATTCAGTGCATCCGTTTTCTTTATTTCCCATACAGTTTCATGTTGGGATCTTACAATGAAGATGATGGAGCTCAGTTGTATATGGTTGACCCTTCAGGAGTATCCTATGTAAGTGTTTCTACTTTTAACTAGAGTGTAGGTTACTTTAGTGCAGTAGATGAAACTATAACTAAGAATATAGTGTTCTTTTGTCATTCAGTGCCACTTCATTCATGTGTAGAATGATCAGACAATTGCCCATTAAGTAGTTCTGTGTGGTACAATGCTCAGAATTATTACTGGGGTCAGCTCTGCTGGCCTGGGCTTGAATCGTGCTGGAAAGTAAAAGGCCAGTGAGAGGACCTCCTGTGATTAGAATGGAAAATATTCTCATAATTGTACATGTTGAGAGCAAAAACTGCATTAGTGATTTTGAGGGGACGGTCACCCTTGTTTTAGGCAAGTTTAACAGTGAATTACATATAGTGGCATATACATTATATTGGATTACATAGTCCTGTGTCTCTATACAAGAAATGATAGTAAAATATTTTGTATACTTTTCTGTATGCTGCAGGGTTATTGGGGATGTTCTATTGGTAAAGCCAAGCAAGCAGCCAAGACAGAGATAGAGAAACTTCAGGTGAGTGTGACATTGCTATATATGGTCAGATGGGGGAAATGAATAAACAAGAAATACAGGACAAATTGAATATCTGACCATGACATGTTGGAGCTGTTACACAGGTTATCTTCTGCTTAACTGAACACTGTGAGTTCCTGAACTGCTTCCCTGTTGCCCTATAGTAGAAGTGCTGCGGAAAATCGTGTGTGTGTGTGTGTGTGTGTGTGTGTGTGTGTGTGTGTGTGTGTGTGTGTGTGTGTGTGTTGTGATTTGCATTTCCAGGTAGGGAGCGCGCGCGCTGCCGTACCCATGCTGCCATTGGTGGCTAGGTATTCCCTGCCCGTGATCGCCATGCAAAGCTGATAGGGGAGAGACCTGTGTGTAAACAACACAGGTCTCTCCCCTGTCAGCATGGACATGCTGTTTTGTATTTCTCTGCACAGCGGAGAAATACAACACAGCATGCCTCCCTAGTAAAACGGCACACAGTTAACCCTTTGATCGTCCAAAAGTTAACCCCTTCCTGCCTAGTGTCATTAGTACAGTGTCAGTTCTTTTTATTAGCACTTATCACTGTATTAGTGTCACTGGGGATATCGGTGGCAGTCGGTTCCCAGCCACTGTCCACATGCCCGCTGCAGTCCCGCTATAAGTTGCTGACCACCGCCATTATTGGTATATAAAGAGAGAAAAAAATATCCAGTATATATACCGCCATTTGTAGACGCTATAACTTTAACGTAAACCAATTATTTACACGTATTGGGATTTTTTTTTTTAAGCAAAGACATGTAGCAGAATACATTTTGGCCTAAATTTATCACAAAATTTGATGTATAAAATTTTTTTTATTGGACATGTTTTATAGCAAAAAGTCAAAAATATATATTTTTTTCAAAATTGTCTGGCTTTTTTTGTTTATAGCACAAAAAATAAAAAAACTGCACAGGTGATCAAATACCACCGAAAGAAAGCTCTATTTATAGGGGGGAAAAAAATTACATAAATTTCATTTATGTACAACGTTGCATGACTGCGCAACTGTCAGTTAAAGTAAGGCAGCGCCGTATTGCAAAAAATGGCCTGGTCAGGAAGGGGGGCAAATCCTCTGGAGGGCAAGTGGTTGAACCTGTACTCCAAGCAAATATAAAAACTATTTAATACAGCTGTGCAATAAAACTGCATTTTCAAGTCCCCTAGACGTAAAAGAGCATTTATCTCTTGCAGTGCAGGAGCAGCCCACTACAATGGAGGATCTTTACTTTTTCCTGGAATTCAGATTGATTTTGTGTCACCCTCCTGTCCTACCTAATTGTCAAAAGTAGCTGGATGGTGTTACAAATCCTTTGGTATATGATAAGTTTACATAGTATAGTTCCTTTATCTTATCCTCTATAGCTGTTTTACCGGATTCATTTAAAACGGAAGGTTACGTTGCTTATATTTTGCCATGCCTAGTCACAGCCTCCTATCAACATGCTAATGAAAATTGTAAATAAAACCTGTTTTTATGACATACCTTAGTTTTGGAGACAGCACCATCATAGCTGGATCTTGTTTTTCTGTACAGTGCAGACAGATCATGGCAGATGGTAGGAGTGGTCAGGGTGCTGTACATGGCTACCCAAAAACATTACAGTAAATTCTGCCTCAGTACTCCTCTCAAGCACTCCAGCCCTGATGTAAGCAGCAGGCTGGCTCTTGAGAGGGGTGGATGTCAGTTTAAAGGAGTAGGTGTTCCTTGGAAGGATGTCAGTCTAAAGGTAGTGGGTGTTCCTTGGAAGGATGTCAGTCTAAAGGTAGTGGGTGTTCCTTGGAAGGATGTCAGTCTAAAGGTAGTGGGTGTTCCTTGGAAGGATGTCAGTCTAAAGGAGTGGGTGTTCCTTGGAAGGATGTCTGTCTAAAGGAGTGGGTGTTCCTTGGAAGGATGTCAGTCTAAAGGAGTGGGTGTTCCTTAGAAGGATGTCAGTCTAAAGGTAGTGGGTGTTCCTTGGAAGGATGTCAGTCTAAAGGAGTGGGTGTTCCTTGGAAGGATGTCAGTCTAAAGGTAGTGGGTGTTCCTTGGAAGGATGTCTGTCTAGGAGTGGGTGTTCCTGGGTAAGCTGTGTTTTGCATGCAGACCACCCTAGGTAATGCCCACATGTAATGCTAAACCTCAATGAACAAATGGGGTGGACCAGAGACAATAGTATGGCTGGGGAGGAAAGAGACAATGGATTTTTGAAAATTCTCTTTATTGAGTTATAAGAAGAGTAGTAAGTACAAAGCAGAGCCTTGGGGCATGCCCCCGCTCAAGTACAAACAACAAAACAGTACAAACAACATGAACAACAAAACAGTAAATTTGCATAAACCATGGATTTTTCAAGGGATTAAAAGAAGGTGCTCCATTCTGATGCAGAATAGTGAAATTAAGTATGAATTCTTTGGTACCCTGACACACTTGCTGACATGTCTGTTCCATTGCATGTTCTGTATACACTAATCGTTGCGTTCTAATGTATTGTGTTTGACAGATGAAGGAGATGACATGTCGGGAAGTGGTGAAAGAAGTAGCAAAAATGTGAGTATAGCTGCACTGGGTACATTGTAACTCAAATGTTAATATTTTATTTCCTATCTTTTTACTTGCTAGAAAAGTGTCTAATTGTATAAAATTATAAATGTAAAGCATTGTGATTGAATAATGAAACGTGAGCTCTGACTGGATGTTTAGGAGGTGCAGGCTTTGTTTTTTCTATACATAGCACCGCATGAACCATTTTGCTTTGCTTATCAGACCAAGATTAAAGTGGAACGTTACCCATAACAACTTAATAAACAAGAATGTTGTTTAGCACGGAACATGCATTTCACATTAATAATTGTGCTACAAACATGAGTGTGTTCTGTAAATTGCCTCCAGCATTGTTCCGGTTTCTTCTTGCTGTGGAGGCTGCAATTTTGCTGACGTCCAGAGCCTCTGAGTAGCAGTACACCTATGGGCTGTCAGCAGATCAGCCTCTACATTTTTTGGCACAGTGCAACTGAGCACGTGCAGAGTGAGTGAGTGTATTACTGGATTTTAAACAGTACAGTATAGTATATTGTTTTTGTTTAGTTTTTTTTAAATACATGTTTATTAAAATCGTGGCATGACAAGAAATGTATACAATTGGCTTCCGTAGTCATTAATCGATACAAATCCAAACTGACAAGGTGACAACAAAGTAACAAGGAGTACGATCGACTTTAAGTCATCAAAGATGCCAGGATAAGGTAATAAGAGTCCTGGTACATGCTGCCTTTATCAACAACCATAAAAAGGCAAGGGACGATATGTGAAAGAGGATGTGAATTCAGTTCCCCACAAGTGATGTTTTACATAGCTGTACCTGCAAAAGGGGCCAGCATGAAGTGATCTCGCAGCACATCATTTTCTGACATCAAGTTCCATTTTAAATATGGTTTATGGTTGTACATGAAATGTATAGGGCAGTAGTCGGCAAGCCGCGGCTCGCGAGCCACATGCGGCTCTTTACACACTTTAATGCGGCTCTTCTGTGTGCCGGGCGCCCGCTCCCCTCCCTCCTCTCGGGCGGCCACCCCAAAAGTCAGGACTCTGCAGCTAGCCCAGCAATGGGCAAACTACGGCCCGGTGGACCTTTTAATCCGGCCCGCGGGGCGTGATCCAAAAAAAAAAAACAGCCAGGGCAGCGCACTCAAATGCAATGATTGGCCAGTCTCGCTGCCACTCGCATCCTGATAGCCAGTGATTGGCTGTCAGGATGTGTGTAGGCGGGGCAGCGTGACGAACGTGAGAGGAGCTAGGCTCCTCTCACAGTCCGCCCTGAAGACCGGAACGGCGCGGGAACACGGCGAGAAGAACGCGCGGAGCAAAGGTAAGTGAATTGACACAGGGGGGACTTGGCTTACTACTTGCTACTTACTTACTACTACTATATGAGGGATGAATTACTATGGGGGATGAATTACTCTAGGGGGGATGAATTACTCTAGGGGGGATGAATTACTCTAGGGGGGATGAATTACTCTAGGGGGGGATGAATTACTATAGGGGGGATGAATTACTATAAAAACATATTGAAACAAAAAACAGTGTACCATCCTATGTATTTTCAGTTTTAAAAATGTGGCTCTCAAAATAAATTTCAATCGTGGTTTTGGCGAGATTTGGCTCAGTTGAAAAAAAAGGTTGCCCACCACTGGTATAGGGTAACATTCAGACAGCTTTTCAGTCACTCCTTAATGCTTGCATTGATTTTTAAAATGGAAGTAAACCCTATTTTTTATGTTTTACCTACAGGTAAGCCTTTAATAAGGCTTACCTGTACATATTGTAAATATCTCCTACACATGCACCGTTCAGGAGATATTTACTGCAGCAGTGCCTGTGATCTCAGTGGATGGCCTGCTGTCCACTGATAGACCCGTGCCATGACTGAAAATCCTAGACAGCCGCTGCCCACAAACCCGGAAGGAAGACTGGGTGAGGATGGAAGCCTCGGGGAGCCGTGACCGTGCTCCGCTGGCGGGCTTCATTTTCAGGTAACTCTTTCATAATGTACTAATATGTGATGCATACTCGCACATTATGATCTTAACTTGCAGGGAAACTTTTTTTTTTTTGTGTAATTTATTTGCAGTTTACTACCGCTTTAAGACTAAGAGAAATACGGGGCTACCTTTTTAAGCTCCCTTTTGAAAATGCTTGTTTCCTGACTGCCCCTAGCTTCAATACATTAGAGACCGACTTGGAATAAGCATGCAGAGAACAAAGAATTTTATATCTGCTCTCCTAATACTCCACTGGGGTATGCGAGCTGTAGCTTGCATTTTACAATCAATTCAAAAAAAAAATGCAGGCCATGGTGTGCAGTCTGTGTTGCTCCGCTGAGTTTTTTGCTTAATGCAGCTGAAAGAGTTCCATGATTGGATGAGAGCTGGTTATATGATTTTTACAGGACAATAAGACCAGCCTCTCCTCCTAGCCTGTTTTCCTCTCTCAGCCCATTCATGTTTATTGTGCTCAGCTGACTTGAGATTTCCAAAACCAATGGAGCACAATGCAAACCTGTAAAGCACATTACTCTACTTCATAAATACGGTAGTTGTGCAAGGGTTTGATTCAGAGGATATCTTGCTGGATCGTGCGTGCGTGCGGTGGAGGCTAGGAAAACCTTTTCACAAAATAGGAGAAGAGAAGTCTGAAGAAGGACCTTTGTGGCATGATCACCAGATATCAGTTTAATGAAAGCTGTAGCTATATATAGGTTGAATGTAACTTTTGACATTTACATCAACATGTAATTGCTTATGAGATTTTTAGCAGTTGGGTTTAAATCTACTATTACACTGTTCAGGCTGTGAAAATAGTACATTCTGATTTTATAACCATAACATTTACAAGTCAGAGTTAGGCTCTTACATCAGGAGCCTATTAGAGGAGTACACTAAGATTAGGTCGCCCCATTGGTTTGATTTACAATGACTGGAACTGGATAGGATAGGTAACGCCCCCTTTTTATATACAAGTTTTTGTGGTGTGTGTTTTTTTAATATATATAAAATCTGATGTAGCTAGTCTGTAGCCAAACCTTGTGTTTTTTTTCTTTTGCAGAATCTACATCGTCCATGATGAAGTAAAAGATAAAGCTTTTGAACTGGAACTGAGCTGGGTTGGAGAAAGTAAGGGCATTCATTTGTTATAAAGTAGGTCGAGATGTTTGACTTCAGCATCTTGATATATTCTAAGTTTTCTAGTAAACACATCCAGATAAGGTCAAGCCTGCCATTCATGTCTTGGCTGTGTAGTAGGGTCATCCCAGCACAAATACATTTTATTTACTCTTGATAAGTGTTTATAGGTGATCATCTATTACCCGAAAGGGTAAGATTTTTTTTATAGTAATTTCTGCCACATAAATCTCACTTTCTTCTGCTCCATTAAGGGACATGGGAAGTCTTAAAGCTTCGGGTTGTATTTCAGCCTACAGATAGGTTTAACACTGGCAATCAAACCGTGGGCCTGCCCAAGACAACCTCTCCTACTATCAGCATGCCTCAGATTTTTGCTTGTGTCCTAGGAGGGTTGATGTGTTTTCTTCAATGCTGCTGTGCTAGATTAAAGGGTCGCTCACACATGTGTCAATACCACGTGTTCAACATTTTTAAAATCTCAGAATTACCCTGTTGAGGTTTTAAAAATTAAGCAACATGTAGTTTTCATAAGGCATCAGCACTTGTTAGACATCTCCATTGATTCCAGTAGTAACCTTCCATACTTGCGCCTTAACAGCATCTATAGCATTTTTGTATTAGTGAAGCATTTATAAAGTGTTAGCTGGGCACTGCGGGAGTGGCAGTGGAGGTTCCTGTATCCCAGAATACATTGGGAAATACCAGAGAACTAAGAGCAGTTCCAGACATTGCTTGTTTGTACAGAGCCATCGTGTGGTAACACCATTTGCTTCTTTGTGCAGACAAAAGCATCAACCAGTCAGGCAGGAGTAGGGGCATTGAGCATTATGGCCAGTGGCAAAGCTTCTTCAAGTGTCAAAGAGATCAAAGTATACAAGTCCTCTCTGCATTTCCCTATCTTTCCATCACATAAAAATTTCCAATTTTTTACTATGGGGCCCCTCACTAACATTTCAAGGCCTTACCCTTTAGCCTATCATTTTGCACCTTGGGTGTTGTGGGATACTTGGATGATCTTTTGTTGAGGAAACAGTTTGTGTGGACTTTCAAAGACAACATTGCTTTGACTGTTCATACATTACAGCTGTTTAGATGAACCCAGAACCTTCAGAAATTGTTGCTGGAACCAACTCATTTGGAGTATCTGGGTCTAATTCTAAACACCGCTCAGACCAGAGTTTCACAGAAGAAACTTCAGATCTAAGATTCAGTCTTCCTTGTCTTGGAGTTGTCTAACTCTCTACTTTGCATAAGAGTCATGAACCTGATGATGGCTTCCTTCAAGGCAGTCCCATGTGGCCAGTTTTCCTCTAGACTTTGACCACACAACATTCTGTTGTCATGGGAGAAGCCACTTAGGTTCCTGGACAGATTGAATTGTTTGGCATCAAGGGCTAGGTTGCCACTGGCCAGATGACTCAGAAAAACAGCTCTGGAATTGGGTAGGTCCTTCCTTCTTGTTTTTTTTGGAGGTTCTGTGTTCCCCCTTATTTGATTTGGATTTTTAAACTTGCAGTGCTGAAGGTGATTGTAGCCTTATTGGTGCGCTTGCAACAAAGCTACTACTGTGCTGTCCGTAATGCAAAAAAGTCATTCTCACTAACAGTACTCGCCATTTATAGATTAAAGGCCTTGATAATTAAACATGACAAAAATGAAGTATGGTCTGTTTTGACCATAACCTCAAATCACATTCTCCTACTCATGTCTTTCTAGTGCACAGTGAGAATGAATGGATTATGAAACTGTGGTTCTAGCTTTATCCCTAGGGGTAAAGGCATACGATGGCTAATTTTTATAAAAGAACTCTGAGGATAATATCACTTGTGATCAGTGCTGGAAAAATTACATAGTTTGTTTGCAGCATTTGTGAGAAAAATGTTAAAAGGAAAACGTGTGTTGGCTTTTATCAGACAGTAAGCTCTTCTATTTACTTTGACGCACATAATCTGGTCTCCTTTGGTCAACAAAGGCAAATATTTTAGGCACTTTCATGCATGAAACCCAACTTGTAGCAATATGTGTAGCAGTTTGTTAATGCATGACAAAGAAAATTCATCCAGTTTTTTATTATTTAGAACACCTACATGGTTGGGTGCTGGGGTGGGTTTTCCAAAGTCAGAGGTTGGCCATGCACTTCCCGATGTGACCATTTTGCGTTTTAATTAGACTGTGTAAGGCTTGGCTGCATAGTAATAAATATTTTGCATGCTTATGGTAACGTTTTTAAGGCCTGGTTCACATCTATGCAGCTGTTTGTGCTGGTATGGCAGTCCATTCATTTGGGCACCCCCTGCGTTTTCTTCAACGGCTTGACCCCTAAGCCAATTCTGACATTTTCTGTCTTACGTGTAAGTCCTTTTTTTTTGCTAAAAAATTGCTTAGAACCCCCAAACTTTATATCTTCTTTTTTTTTAATTTAATTAAGCAGAGACCCAGACAATAAAATGGTGGTTGTTGTTTTTTTTTAATGTCATGCTGTTTTTGAGCAGTGGTTGGTTTTTCAAACACTAAAATTTTGGAAAAAATACACTTTAATGAATTTTAGTGCACATGGACAAAATATAATACCCACTTTTTTTGTAAAATCTAAAAGATGATGTTACACCCGAGTAAATAGATACCAAACATGTCATGCTTTAAAGTTGCATACTTGAGAAGATCGCTGCTGCTCTCCCAGTCCAGTGTGTGTTTTTACCATGCATCAGCCTTACACCACTCCACAAGCCATGCCCTCAAGAGGCCACACACATGTTAATAACAGGTCACTGCTCTCCCAGTCCATCTAAGTATACTACACACTACTGGATGGTGATATTCCCCATTCCTGAACACCAGCCAGACAAATATACATCTTTTTTTGCTGAAAGCGGCACTACAAGTATAAGCTTTAAAACTATACACGCCTGTGGAATGGCAACAAACTACGGTCCATTAAATTATTCATAGTCTTACATAAATTCTCTGTATGAGACTCCAGATTTCTCCTCTGGGCTCCAATCACCAGATAAGGATCGGTTTGATCTGCTGCTACACAAGCTGGCAATGGTTTATAAACAAAGGAACTGGAAAAGACTAAATCCTTGTCGCTTCTGGTTTGTGATGTCACACATTGGGAGAAACAAGCAGTTCCTTTCAGTGTGTTCGGGGAAGCCGATTCCGCTGGTAGCATACTTACCTGGCTCCCCAAACGCTTGAGAGTGCCCAGTAAAAGCGGTGGGAAGGGGGGCTGGGATTACTTTTACAGTGGAGGGAATTACTGCCAGAACATAGCCTCAACCATTGCTGCAGCAATGACCAAGATATCACCCTTTCAATCCAGTGACTTACCGGTACGTCACTGGTCGGCTAGGGATTAAAGCAGCGCATTTTGTGTGTATCTGCGGAAATGTGCGATTTACATGTATTCCTGCGCAGATGTGAACTTAGCCTAACATTGGGAATTAACTGTTGGCTCGGGATCTATCCCTTTTCTCTCAACAGGAGAACAAGATGTCAGCTCAGACAGAAAAATCAAACACACACAATGGTGTAAGCAAAGGCCAGCATTTAGTTTGTGTCTTTAGTTTTTGGGAGTGATCTGTCTGTGTCCAAGTTGTTCATACACAGAAGATGAATACATAGCACTAGTTAAGATCCTGTGCTGCTATGTGTTCACCTGCTGCTTATAGCATGTTCAGCACAACAATTTCAAGCTTTAGCAGCTCTAATTATTTTAGTTGTTGAAAAAAGCATAAGGGCAATGGCATTCTTTTGAAAATGCTAGTTACCTGGCTGTCAAGCTGGCTCATTAGCTTCAGTACTGACAGGAACACAGACCTGGAACAAGTTTGCACCTAAAATCATCTGAGCCACATCAAGACTTCTGTAAACTCAAGTATTTATAAATGAGTACACTATTTCTCCCAGTAGAAAAACACTGTTCTACAGAGATTTCACTTCTGAATAAAGCATTACGGTTTCTTTTTGCACAGTTACTAATGGAAGACATGAAGTTGTACCAAAAGACGTCAGAGAAGAGGCTGAAAAATATGCAAAGGTAAATGGATTGACTGAATCCAGTCCCAGTCTTTTTTTATTTTATATTTGTATTTAGACCTCTGACAATTTGTTTTTCCCATAACAGGAATCTTTAGAAGAAGAAGACGACTCTGATGATGACAACATGTAACTTAATTTTTGATTATGTCAAATTTATTTCCAATTGCTGTTTTTATATGTATGTATGGACCTGAATACGCTTTGTGTGGCAACTGGCAATAAAACCACTGTTTACACAACTTGTTGAATGGCTGCAATATACAGTATTCTAAGATGTGTGCGATGTACGTTCTGTTCTGCTTTACACGATTCCTACGTTCCAGAATAAATTTGCTAATGGTTTCAATATAAATGAGTTCTAGTACCCACACAGTATATGCAGATATGTTTGACAGGGACCCTATGTGGCCTAGCACTTGGCTCGGATGCAGCAGCAACTTCATTCTGCCAGTACATTAAAGATTAAATCCAGTAATTGTCTGTATTGCATAGTTTTGGTCCAGCTTGACACAATGCAATTATGCATATCTCATACCTGATGGACCCATGAGGAAGCTGGAAATCATTGTAGTAGTAGTTGGTGCCACTACAGTGATAACCTCAGTCTTCTGGGTCCTTCTTCGGTTCTATGCAAGTAACTGCCCCACTGCACACTGACCACAGGGGGTTGCTTACTCAGCATGGCTCATAGAACACATTCTAATTTTTTCAATGAATGGAAGGCATTCTCTGATTGGATGAGGTGGAAATTGTGGTGTCACTACCACTCCTCTCTACCTCATAAAATCAGAGAATGACTAAAAAAAATAACTTTCTATGAATGGCAGTGGTGCTGAGCAAAGAACCCTTGGTGGTCAGTGTACAGTGGGGTAGTCACTTGCATAGAATCTAAGCAGAAAGATTGCAGCTATCACTGCAGTACTGCTGCCGACTACTACAATAATTGTCAGCTTCCCTAGTGGACCATCAGGAATGAGATTGTGCCAGGATATTCCAATGTAAGTATGCAATAAAGATCATACTATACCTGGAGTTCAGCTTAAAAGGAGGAGTAAGGGCTTGGAAAAAAAACAAACATTCACACTCACCTTGATGGCTGTAGCATTGATCCAATGCTGCATCTGTCCTCCGCTAGCTCCGCAGTGAGAACTGAGCGATCAAACACCACTGATTGCTCATTTCTCCCCTCTGCTCTGAGCAGAGAGCTGCGACTGCCAGTCTTCTCTGCTACTTCAGCGTGTGCTGGACTGTGGAGGGGGCAAGAGGGGCTTGTTCAGGCTCTTGGCAGATCGCTGAGAGACTGAGCCAGGTCCTGGTCCAGGCTTCTGAGTGGATCCTGACCATAATGTTGATTTAACTTTTCAGAGCCTGGACCAGCAAAATAGTCAGCCAACATCAGACTTTATCCTGCCGTCAGCTGAAAACAGGTCACAGGAGTGAAGAAGAAACTGCACTCCTGGGACCTACAGGAGAGGTATAGCCAAAATAGCTTTGGCTGTACTACTCATTTAAAGGAAAAGGACCTGAAGGATACCCAGTGTGGTTTTGAGCATTAGGGAATTTACAGTATGTTTTGTTTTTTTTTCTCTCCCTCTTTGTGCATTTGTGTGGTATGAATTTAATGGAAATAATTTCATTGGTTAGGTTTATTAAGTAGGGCTTGTAAATCCTATATTTGCTCTGAAATTTTTGTTGGAAACGGCAACACACCAGATTTAGGTTGGTTAACCCTTCTTCAAGTGGTGATAAATGATGGTAATGGATTTGATAAGTCTACCAATGGCTTCTTAACAGCCTTCTTGTTTGCATCTGCTTCCTGAACAAGTAAACACATATAGCTAAAAGTCACTAAATCTATGATCTCTAATTCTGGGTTCACACCTAAGTGTTTTGCAGAAACGCACTACAGTCCATTTAACATTATTTCCTATGGTACAAATTTACATCTCTGCGTTTTCACCTGGTGCGGGTTTTTAGAAAGGGTCAGGGACTTTTTTTAAATTCAAAATGTTGCGTTTTTGGTTCTATAGACTTCAATGGAGATGCTGCAGAAAAGCATGTAGTGTGTTTTTGCTGAGTTTTTAATCTGCCTAGCAACATGAAAGAGAAAAAAAAAAAAAAATGCAAAACGCACCGCAAAATGCATTACAGAAACATCCAACGCAAATGACATAGGTGTGAACCTAGCCTAAAGGAGTGTGAAACGACAAAAATAAGTAGGGAAATGTACAGGAATGAACTTGTCAAACTTATTCATTTTCCACTGTGGAGGTATTTCCTTGACTTCCATTTACTAATGGCACTAGAGCAAACACAATTCCTATTCATATTCATTGGGCATATAAGAATGGTTCATGTTTTTTCATATCCTTTACTCCTTAGTGATGTTTGAATCTAACATATATGTGCAATGGCTACAAAACGACTTGGCCAGGTGGGAGTGGAAAGGCCAGTAGGTGGCAGTGTACAGCCTGAATATTTACTGTGGGAAAGCTGTGTGGGTGTGGAAGGCACATCAAGCTGCTGTCAAAGGCACTTGGCTCCATGCCATTGTTGAGGTTTATTCTACAGTAGTGGGGGAGGAGGAGAGGAAAAGCAGGTCATTACTCTAAAATGAGGAGACAAGAGGGATCATTTCTTTGCATTAAATTAAACAACTGGGAATGATATGAAGACCCCAGTGTGTAAATCCCTGAGGCTGCTACCTTTTCTAACAGGTTTTGTTTTCTTCTAGTATTGTCCTAAAACTAGTTACCAATGTCACACCATAATCCATAACCTTACACATGTCAGGGCTGTTAAAGATGATTTCTAATGGTTGCTATGGATTTGTATTTTATGTCAAATTCAGGAGTTGATTCACATGAATCTCGCAGTGCCAGAGGTGGGGAACTAGCACTCTTAGCTGTTGCTACAAATGCCATAGGATTCATTCTCTATTCACACTGCTCTTGTGCAACTGCTAAACTGAAAACCACCTCCCAGCCACTTAGCAGCTTTGCCTGATCCTTTCATTTATCACCTTTCACGATAGGGATCATAAACACGCACGTAACTACGAGGGAAATGCTGCTGTATGACATTCAGAGATGCAGCCCGGCACGTTACGGACAAACTGCTGTGGGACTGATTATGCTGCTTGGTTTGCACTGCTAATGTGCAGATTTGAAAAAATGTTGCTGCATATTTCTTCTTCTATGTCACACACTTGTAGGCCATTGATTACTTTCTCCAGCCCCATAAGCAAATGTCCTTATCTCCATATGGACCTGAGGCTGGAGGAATAGCCTTGAAGGAGCATGTGCATTGCCCCTACAATGGACCGATCATGGTTGCAATACTTCATAGGCTCCAATGTAAACATTTAATAAATGCACTTTTTTTCCAATATGGGTGCATTTTTATTATTTTTTTTTTTTTGCAAAAAGTAGAAAATGCCTTTTAAGAGTTAATATTATCCAATGGTGTCTGTTTTTAGCTGTAAATCAGTGGGTTTATTTCCTGCTGTACAAAGACGGGGATTCAAATGACTATTAACTCTAGTCTGTTTTTTACCAGACAGTATAGTATGAGAAAGGCAAAAGTCACTGCTTTGTTCTTCTTTTTGTTCTCATTAAACATCTAACATTTTAATCTCTAGGAAGCAAAGACCTCCCAAGAACACAAATATTTTCTCTACATTACACTATTTAAACTGTAGTGCCAAAATACCTGCAAATGAGTCCCGCATCCATTCCTTAGACCAGCCAGCCAGGAGTTCACAGTGCCAACAGGTCCTGAGGCACAAGTGGTCAGAAATCCTGAGGGAATTGGGTATTTTCAATGTTTTGAAAATTTTTGCTATTATGACTCAAACCAGCAGATATTGGTGTTCTCACCCTAGCACAGCCCTTCTTGAACAGGAGTGATCCAGTGGAATGCACACGTCCCCAGTAAGATCCCAAGCACAGCTGAGACTTGTTCTGCTCCTCCCAACCATTCCTTTCTGTGACCATGTTACCTTCTGCTGGCATTGCACTAACGTCAGTGTCAGGCCAAGATGTACATATCACATGCCTACTGCTGAGTTTGAAATTTTAAAGGCTGAATAATCACTGTGTAACTATGGCAAGCAAGAAAAAAAGCTAGTCTAGGAGACCAAACTACGTAGACAGGCTGTGATGCCATCTTTCATAGTTCTGAATAGAATCGGAGCGGATATGTCAGTTATTAGGAAGCATGGCATTATACAGTGGGGCAAAAAAGTATTTAGTCAGCCACCAATTGGGCAAGTTCTCCCACTTAAAAAGATGAGAGAGGCCTGTAATTGGCATCATAGGTAGACCTCAACTATGAGAGACAAAATGAGAAAAAAAATCCAGACAATCACATTGGCTGATTTGGAAAGAGTTTATTTGCAAATTATGGTGGAAAATATTTGGTCACCTACAAACAAGCAAGATTTCTGGCTCTCACAGACCTGTACTTTCTTCTTTAAGAGGCTCCTCTGTCCTGCACTCATTACCTGTATCAATGGCACCTGTTTGAGGTTGTGGACAGGTGTCTTTTATACTGATAAGTTCAAACGGTCACACTCCAAACTCAACTATGGTATCAGCGCCAGTGGTGTAGAATGGATTGTCAGCACCTGGGGCAAGGCACATCATTTGTGCTCCCTAACCTGTGCACTTTTAGTGCTCCCACAGCCAGTCTGTGAGCGGGGCGCGGTGGGGACAGTCAGTCTGTGAGCGGGGCGCAGTGGGGACAGCCAGTCTGTGAGCGGGGCGCGGTGGGGACAGCCAGTCTGTGAGCGGGGCGCGGTGGGGACAGCTAGTCAGTGAAGCGTATGTAGTGGGAGAGCTGGGAGCAATGCCCCAGTCCTTTGTGTGCAAGTATAAGGGTTGAAGCAGCACAGTTGGAGGGAATTCCTGTGGCGATGAAGGTAGACCTCTCCCCATCAGCCACTTACCCCATGGCTCTGAAGTTTCAGCTGTTTGAGCAGCCACCTGTGTGTAGCAGGGAGCGTTCGGCCACCCCCACCTCCTCAGGCTGCTGCACAGGGAGATATTACACACAGCTGACTGAGTCAGACCTTGCTAGCCCCGTGACCCAGATGGTTGCAGATATGAGGGCGAACCTGAGCACCCCCACCCAGCGCTGCCCCTGGATTACACCTGGCTTACTTATAAGCCCGCTGTTGGTTATCCAGTGTGAGTCATGCTGGATTGAGAATGGGCTTACACTGAACACAACCTGTGTGAGCCTGCTCTCTGTCATCCTGCGCCCCTCTAAATGTTGTGCCTGGGGTGTCCGCACCGGCTGCCTCCTGCTACTCCACTGTGGGGAGACCGCACCGGCTGCCTCCTGCTACTCCACTGTGGGGTGACCGCACCGGCCGCCTCCTGCTACTCCACTGTGGGGTGACCGCACCGGCCGCCTCCTGCTACTCCACTGTGGGGAGACCGCACCGGCCGCCTCCTGCTACTCCACTGTGGGGTGACCGCACCGGCCGCCTCCTGCTACTCCACTGTGGGGAGACCGCACCGGCCGCCCCCTGCTACTCCACTGTGGGGTGACCGCACCGGCCGCCCCCTGCTACTCCACTGTGGGGTGACCGCACCGGCCGCCCCCTGCTACTCCACTGTGGGGTGACCGCACCGGCCGCCCCCTGCTACTCCACTGTGGGGTGACCGCACCGGCCGCCCCCTGCTACTCCACTGTGGGGAGACCGCACCGGCCGCCCCCTGCTACTCCACTGTGGGGAGACCGCACCGGCCGCCCCCTGCTACTCCACTGTGGGGTGACCGCACCGGCCGCCCCCTGCTACTCCACTGTGGGGAGACCGCAGCGGCCGCCCCCTGCTACTCCACTGTGGGGTGACCGCACCGGCCGCCCCCTGCTACTCCACTGTGGGGTGACCGCACCGGCCGCCCCCTGCTACTCCACTGTGGGGAGACCGCACCGGCCGCCCCCTGCTACTCCACTGTGGGGTGACCGCACCGGCCGCCCCCTGCTACTCCACTGTGGGGAGACCGCAGCGGCCGCCCCCTGCTACTCCACTGTGGGGTGACCGCACCGGCCGCCCCCTGCTACTCCACTGTGGGGTGACCGCACCGGCCGCCCCCTGCTACTACTCCACTGTGGGGTGACCGCACCGGCCGCCCCCTGCTACTCCACTGTGGGGTGACCGCACCGGCCGCCTCCTGCTACTCCACTGTGGGGTGACCGCACCGGCCGCCTCCTGCTACTCCACTGTGGGGAGACCGCACCGGCCGCCTCCTGATACTCCACTGTGGGGTGACCGCACCGGCCGCCTCCTGCTACTCCACTGTGGGGAGACCGCACCGGCCGCCTCCTGCTACTCCACTGTGGGGTGACCGCACCGGCCGCCCCCTGCTACTCCACTGTGGGGTGACCGCACCGGCCGCCCCCTGCTACTCCACTGTGGGGTGACCGCACCGGCCGCCCCCTGCTACTCCACTGTGGGGTGACCGCACCGGCCGCCCCCTGCTACTCCACTGTGGGGTGACCGCACCGGCCGCCCCCTGCTACTCCACTGTGGGGTGACCGCACCGGCCGCCCCCTGCTACTCCACTGTGGGGAGGACCGCCGCACCGGCCGCCCCCTGATACTCCACTGTGGGGTGACCGCACCGGCCGCCCCCTGATACTCCACTGTGGGGTGACCGCACCGGCCGCCTCCTGCTACTCCACTGTGGGGAGACCGCACCGGCCGCCTCCTGCTACTCCACTGTGGGGTGACCGCACCGGCCGCCTCCTGCTACTCCACTGTGGGGAGACCGCACCGGCCGCCTCCTGCTACTCCACTGTGCAGTGTTAACATCAACTGCATGGATTAGTAAAGATAATTGGTGGTTTTTTTTTTTGTGCCAGCTTGGCCCAAATGAACTGTTTTAAGGGGTTAGTTTATCTTTACAAAAATACTGCCTTTGCAGGTAAGGGGTGTCTAGATAAGTCAAAGCTGCACAGGTTTTTGTATTTATTGAATAAGACCCTTGCCCTTGTAGGTCATTTCCATACCTCATGAAGCCTGCCTGAATCCTCTCAGGATGCTGCTACGTGAGCCCTAGCCATTACTCCTCATCTTCCCCATCACAGGCGTGTTCGTTCTCAGAGTCAAACACCTTTCCATGCTCTCTCCCCTGATGTAGTAGCTGAGCTCAGTGTTGGAGAGCTCACTCCTGTGATTGGTGAGGACTAGGCCTGATTTAGCAATGTCATTCCTACTAGTCAGATCTCTACAGTCTGTTTTGATCTACAGTGAACTCAGCAAGTTCCATGCTTGAACCAGCTCATGGCTCCTAACTTTCAATAGCTTAGACTGAAGTCTGTTTACAAGATATGGATTCTGACAGCCATTAATGAGCTGGTTGTTTAGTCTGCTTTTTATTTCCAGAGAACATGTGGGGGGGGAAACCAGTGAGTACATTGTTTTTGTTCTGTGGTAATAGAAATGCAGCGAAGTAATGATCAATTCCATGTCCAATCTGCAGCAAAGAGCCATGTGATCCAACAGGAGGAAGTGGAGTACAACCTTCCTTTATGAAGCGATGGATTTGTTTGTATTGAGCACAAGCGTGTCATGCGTCACAATTATGCAGAGCTCAGCGTGTTTGCCCTGAAACTATTTTCTGTGTTTCCAGCACAGACACTCCCTCTCTGCAACCAGATCTCTCCCCAGTGAATAGAAGCTTCAGATTACAGGAGCTGAACTCTAGAAGCACTGGGAGCCTCTGCCTGGAGCATGCGCTATAGCTTGTAAACTAGTGAAAGACGTGTTCCTCCCTATTACACACTGACACAGTATCTGCAGCTCAGCGCCTCTTCATATGTTTCATGCACCATTTACTTCAGGGAAAAGAACACAGTCAGATCAGCTTGAATTACAGTTTGACAACCATAGGCATGGAGATCTGTGACAGTCAGTAGACCTTGATTTCCCTCCAAAAGTAAAAGGAAATTGCAGAAGGACCCTGCAGACAGCAGTGCACTGATCTCATCAATGGCAGTGAGCATGCTTGGTGTACCAAAGACAGTTGTTCCCAACCTTCTCATGTAAGAAAGAGGGGCAGCTTTTAGCACAAAATATGGACCACACTTGCCACACTCCTGCCATCATGGCCCCTGACTTGTGCTTTAAACAAGACTCATCACTTAGCTGTAGTAAAGGCTTTTTTTTTTAACCACCTCCCACCCGCCATATAGTGACGGATGCAAGGTGGCTCTCTCGTTCTGGGAGGATGTCATATAATGTCCTCCCATTCTCATCGCGCATGCGTGGCTCAGGGAGCGTGCAGCGCGGCGATCCGCTATCACCGATCACGGAAAGAGCCGAAGATGTCGGCTCAGTCATGTGATCAGCTGTGTCCAATCACAACTGATCACATGTAAACAGGGAAATGCCGGTTAACGGCATTTCTCTCCTCACGAGTTGTCACGCTGACAGGTCGAGAGGAGAGCCGGTAATCGGCTTTCCACGGAGGGGACATGTACACTGATCATCAGGGCACTGATGATCAGTGTAGCCCCAGCAGTACCACCTGTCAGTGTCCATCAGTGCCTTGTGTCAGTGCCTACCAGTGCACATCAATGCCACATATCAGTGCCATGTGACCTGCCTTTCAGTGTCACCCATCAATGCCTATCAGTGTCCATCACTGCAGCCTCATTAGCGCACATCAGTGAAGGAGAAAAATCACTTATTTACAAAATTTTATAACAAAAACTAAGAAACTTTTTTTTTTTCAAAATTTTCAGTGGTTTTTGGTTTAAGAAAAAATAAAAAACACAGAGGTGATTAAATACCACCACAATAAAGCTCTATCTGTCACAAAAAAATGATAAACATTTCATATGGGTCCAGTGTTGCATGACCGCGCTATTGTCACTCAAAGTGTGACAGCGCTGAAAGCTGGAAATTGGCCTGGGCAGGAAGGGGGTAAAAGTGCCCTGTAGGCGAGGGGTTAAATCATATGACAGAAGAGACCGTGTACAGGTCACCACACTCTACAATCAGATTGTACAACATCCTCTACATCAACAATGATGTAGTGTAGGGGTCTGCCTGACTGGATACAAATTGATTTGATAGTTTTGGTAATTGACTGTACGGTCAGATTATGAGTATGGTGACTCTTAAGTCTCTTTAGCCATAGATGCTTCTACCTACCTGTCAGTACATTTTTCTGTATGTGTACACTGAGCTGTGTATGTGCAGATCACAAGGGTTACAACATCCAAGCCCAGCCAAGCAAGCAACTGAAAACTCCCAACCCAGGGGAAGATGGAAGTGCTGGCACTGTAGTGCTGGAGAGGGGTGGCTTTGGTTGGGAAGTGTGCCATGACATAATATGATGGCCATATTAGCACATTATGGTAAAAAGCACCTGTGGGCCCAATTTTCTTTTTGTTGTTTTTTTTCTCAGATTTAAGGCCTGGTTCACGCCTATGCTTTTTTTTTTTTTGTGCATTTTGCAGAAACGCACTACAGTCCATTTAACATGGCTCCCTATGGGACACATTCACATCTATGCATTTTTCATAAACACTGTTTTTGGAAAAGGTCAGCGACTTTTTTAAATGCAACATGGTGTGTTTTTGGCTCAATAGACTTCAATGGATACGCAACAGAAATGCATATAGTGTGTTTTTGATGTGTTTTGCATTTTTAACCTGCATTACTCCAACAAAAAAGAAAATTGCAAAACACAAGAAAAACAACATAAAAAGCACTGCAGAAACAGATCAAAAGCAAATGGCATAGGTGGGAACCAGGCCTTTAGTACAGAAGTACTTTTGTGTAAATAAAACTCACTGCACACTACTAGGTTTCTTTCCTGGGAGTCCCTCCAATACTTCCCCTGAGGCAGATTGCATAGAGAAAAAAGTTTACACACAGCAAAGCGTTCTAAATACAAAACATTCTACAGCTGTCCACACACACTTAGATTTTTGTTTTTTTTCTTCAGCGTGGATTGATGAATCTCCTGCTGCAGCTATTGTATGCTGACAGCTGTCAATTCTGGCTACCATAATGCCAGATCCATGCTTACATCTGATTGGATGAAGCTGCTGTTCAGCTGATAATTTTAACCTCTCAATCAAAGTATATATATGGGATGCTTTACAAAATGCCACATATTTCTAAACGCACAGGAATGTGATTTACAAATGGGCATTGCTGGCTTTGGGAGTCCAAAGTCAGTGTAGCACAATGAAAATTAATGTAAGTCAGAAGGGAGGGGCTGGCCATGTAACCTGTCAAAGTCACATGACTAATGCCCCTTAAATTGCAGATAGATCTCTGAAGGGCACCACAGTCTTCACACCGCGGCCTGCATTTTATGCATGAGTCTAATGGTGTTCCAATATATATATATAATGAAGAATCGATAGCAATATCCTCATGCTGTTATAAATTGGCCTCGTTATGTGTTCCCTCACCCCCTTCTTAGGTAACAGTAATTCAGACCTTGGGCAGGGTTTACTCTCAATTCTCCTCCTGATGCCTGTGATCCAGTGTACCCAAGCCCAACTCCTTCCTACAGGGGAAATTGCACTTTAAACCCACTGGGACTGTTGTTGCCTGCCATTATTCCTTTAAATTAGCTTTTATAAATATCCAATGCCATAATCTAAAGGACAGATGACAATATAAGCAACTCAGGCAGTTAAATAAGATGATAACTTTCAGAGGGTATGTAAAGCTGGTCATGGACAGGCCAAATTTCAATCAGTATGTGGCAGTCTCAGCTTGACAGAAGTCAACGGGTTACATCAACGTCTGTTGGAAAACCTGCTGTTCAACGGCTTCAGCCATGCAGACTCTGAGGGGTTTATTTACTAATGCTGGTTCACTCAGAATCTCGTGCACTTCTGCATGGAAACCAATCAGCTTGCAGGTTTTATTTGTAAAGCTTATTTGAACAAGCTGAGGTTAGAAGCTGATTGGCTACCATGCACAGGTGCACAAGATTCTGAGTGAACCAACTTTAGTAAATCTCCCCCTGAATGTCCTGGCGGGGGATTTCTCTGTCTACCTTGTGTGTGGATGGAGGAATCTGTTTAGCCACTGGGCTGAATGAGGAGAAAGAGAAAAAAAAAAAAAGCTTTAAAAAGGTCACAAGTGTGCACTGTATTCTGTACTCCTGTGACATATTCAGCCGATTGAGACTCTGGAGGGATCCCGACAGACCCAGATTCCTGAGCAGAAGCTGGCTCAACCTCTCCGCTCTCTGTGAGAGCCTAGGCCAGCTGCTCCTGCCCCCTCCACAGCCTGGTGCTCCAATGAGCTCTGGAGAGGTGGTGAGGGACAGCTCACTGAAGACCAATAACAGAGTGATCATGGCTGGGGACAGTTACAGCACAGAAGTGATGCTGCATCCACCTAGGTGACTATTCAGGTTTATTTTTTCAAAATCCACACTTATCTTTTAAAGCCCAACTCCCAAAAACGCTTTCTTTCTACAGAATGGGGAAGGGTTAGAACCCCATCATGCTTTTATTGCTATGTTTCCCATGAAGGTATTTAACAGGAAGTTGTGTCACAAAAGCACAGTTTAGAAGAGAACGAATATGTTTTCATGGGGGTAAGGAGAAACTGGAAAATGTGAAAATTAGCCTAAAGCTCCACCTGCTGATTGAAAAGAATACAAAATCTTAATATTCAATACTTCATAATCCACGGACTACAAAAAAAAAAAATTAGTAATGACAGTAAAGCCTCTTTCCACGAATGTTCTGATCAGGTCTACCTGTCCGTTTTTCAGGCGAACCTGATTGGAATATCTGTGTCTATTTACACTTTCCTACATCCAATCGGATCCAATAAAAACAGACAGTTAGGGATGGGGAAGGGCGTTCCCCTTCTGTCCAACAGTTCAGATCGGATGGCAGTTGGGTATAAACAGATAGGCGGTCTGTTCACATCTGACCACCCATAGATGGGAGCAGGCTGTGTCCGTGTCCACTCTGCATAATAGGAGCAGACACGGACTTGTCATCCACCTGCTCAGAGATCAGCGGACAGATCCTCTGCTGAGCAGGTGGAGTCCACCCCATGTGAAAGGACCCCAATATAAAAATAAAATATACACAAAACTGCTAAGCATTCGTTTTAATACAATCCTCATTTACATGCAGCAATCATGGCTGTGTTTTACTTCAGTTCTATATTCTAGCTTACGTGGGACCAGTTACGCATACCACCGTTGTGTTTGTGGAAAACCGAGAATCTGACAGACAAGCAAACTACATGGAGATCATGTCCTGAATTAGAAGTGAACAGAGAATCTCATGGTTAAATTGTGCAGGTCACATGGTCCCCATAAAACTCTCAGCAGATTCAGCATGTGTATGCCATTTAAGTGCATAGTTCTAATCTACTCATATTTTAATGTACTGTAAAACTGCCCAGAGGTGTCTAGGGAATACACTCTGCATGAGCGGAACGTCAAACAGCACTTCACATGTGAAATATATATTGTGTGTAACTGCTGGTCCAACCACATACCAACAATAGCTGGAAGAGTCACAGCAGCACCGGAAATGCTTGCTGGCACGTGGCAACACTGGAAAACAACGAATGAAGCAAAGTCAAAACACAAAGAATTTCAAGTCACAAATACAGGCACTCCACTCCACGTTTGAAAGGGTTTAAAAAGTCTTGGCTGTGTTTTGATTGGAAGAATTTCACTTCCTGTCCCCCTGACCGTTTCCCAAGAAGGGGACGTGAGGGGAAATCTCAACAATTGGGAATATTCCAACCTTCCAAATGCTATCCAAAAAAAAAATGTTTTGGCTTGTTCCACCTTAATCCTGTGTTTGTCTATGCATAGCACCTGGTTCACTAGAATGCAGACTTCCCCATTCACTTATCATTACTGTTCTTTCACTCCCCCAGTTCTCTGTTCAGCCGCTGTGAACAAAACAATGAAATGAGCAGGGAGGGGGGAAAAGGTAAGTACATTCACCTTTGTCTTTGGGAAGAACCATATAAAGTACACTTGCCTTTAGCCACTGGAGCTGATTTATCAACATCTGTTTCATACAGGCTTCAGCTTCTATAACAGCAGTGTGAACAGAAAGCTGTTCTGAAACTTTCAGCGCTTTTACAAACCTTTTGGCAAACTTCAAACATCTTTGTCTAAGCCTTTAAAGCATCCTTAAGCTCCTGTTTGGAAATGGTATATAAAGATCTTCATGGAAGTGCTGATTGTCACTTTAAGTAAGCTGCTGGCAGGCTTCAGCAAGCTTTCAACTAGATTTAGTGCTAAAGCCTGCTAGCAGCTTGTTTAAAGTGATAATCAGAACTTCCATTAAGCTATGTGGTTCAACTTTTACAAACTAGAGCTGAGGAGCACGTTTAACGTTTCAGCAAAGCTCGCTGTTTACACTGCTCTTATACAAGCTAAAGCCCGTGTTAAACAAGCCTAAAAAGTTAAGAATATTCACACAATAAATTGTTGTGTGAACATTTACTTCAAATATCCAATCATGTGAAATGCAAATTCCTGTTTACCTATTATATCTGCACAATTTATTCATAACTCATTTAGGGCTCAATTGAATTGCTGTCAAAGCACGGCTGTACATAACAGCTGTGGGTCCTGGGAAAAAATGTATTTACTGAGGCTCTGGAAGCTGTGTGCCCCCTTTATAGCCATGTGCATGAGCCCTTAGTAAATCTGCCCAACTATATTTATTGCAAATTTCCATAAGTCCTGATTGCTAATGTTAGGTGAAGTGTAGGCAACCTGTGTTCACAGTACTGTCCTCCCCAGTTCTGAATTAAATGACAC